TGAGTCTCTACACCCTGAGTCTCTACTAGACCCTGAGTCTCTACTAGACCCTGAGTCTCTACACCCTGAGTCTCTAGACCCTGTGTCTCCAGACCCTGAGTCTCTAGACCCTGAGTCTCTACTAGACCCTGAGTCTCTACACCCTGAGTCTCTACTAGACCCTGAGTCTCTACTAGACCCTGAGTCTCTACTGGACCCTGAGTCTCTACACCCTGAGTGTCTACTAGACCCTGAGTCTCTACTAGACCCTGAGTTTCTACACCCTGAGTCTCTAGACCCTGAGTCTCTACACCCTGAGTCTCTACACCCTGAGTCTCCAGACCCTGAGTCTCTACTAGACCCTGAGTCTCTACTAGACCCTGAGTCTCTACTAGACCCTAAGTCTCTACACCCTGAGTCTCTACACCCTGAGTCTCTACACCCTGAGACTCTACTAGACCCTGAGTCTCTACACCCTGAGTCTCTACACCCTGAGTCTCTACTAGACCCTGAGTCTCTACTAGACCCTGAGTCTCTACACCCTGAGTCTCTAGACCCTGTGTCTCCAGACCCTGAGTCTCTAGACCCTGAGTCTCTACTAGACCCTGAGTCTCTACACCCTGAGTCTCTACTAGACCCTGAGTCTCTACTAGACCCTGAGTCTCTACTGGACCCTGAGTCTCTACACCCTGAGTGTCTACTAGACCCTGAGTCTCTACTAGACCCTGAGTTTCTACACCCTGAGTCTCTAGACCCTGAGTCTCTACTACACCCTGAGACTCTACTACACCCTGAGTCTCTACACCCTGAGTCTCTACTAGACCCTGAGTCTCTACTAGACCCTGAGTCTCTACACCCTGAGTCTCTAGACCCTGAGTCTCCAGACCCTGTGTCTCCAGACCCTGTGTCTCCAGACCCTGAGTCTCTAGACCCTGAGTCTCTACTAGACCCTGAGTCTCTACACCCTGAGTCTCTACTAGACCCTGAGTCTCTACTAGACCCTGAGTCTCTACTAGACCCTGAGTCTCTACTAGACCCTGAGTCTCTACACCCTGAGTCTCTACTAGACCCTGAGTCTCTACACCCTGAGTCTCTAGACCCTGAGTCTCTACTACACCCTGAGACTCTACTACACCCTGAGTCTCTACACCCTGACTCTCAACACCCTGAGTCTCTACACCCTGAGTTTCTGCACCCTGAGACTCTACTACACCCTGAGTCTCTACACCCTGACTCTCAACACCCTGAGTCTCTACACCCTGAGTCTCTACACCCTGAGTCTCTACTAGACCCTAAGTCTCTACACCCTGAGTCTCTACACCCTGAGTCTCTACACCCTGAGTCTCTACACCCTGAGTCTCTACTAGACCCTGAGTCTCTACACCCTGAGTCTCTAGACCCTGAGTATCTACTAGACCCTGAGTCTCTACACCCTGAGTCTCTACTACACCCTGAGTCTCTACACCCTGAGTCTCTAGACCCTGAGACTCTAGACCCTGAGTGTCTACACCCTGAGTCTCTACACCCTGAGTCTCTACTACACCCTGAGTCTCCAGACCCTGAGTCTCTAGACCCTGAGTCTCTACACCCTGAGTCTCTACACCCTGAGTCTCCAGACCCTGAGTCTCTACTAGACCCTGAGTCTCTACTAGACCCTGAGTCTCTACTAGACCCTAAGTCTCTACACCCTGAGTCTCTACACCCTGAGTCTCTACACCCTGAGACTCTACTAGACCCTGAGTCTCTACACCCTGAGTCTCTACACCCTGAGTCTCTACTAGACCCTGAGTCTCTACTAGACCCTGAGTCTCTACACCCTGAGTCTCTAGACCCTGTGTCTCCAGACCCTGAGTCTCTAGACCCTGAGTCTCTACTAGACCCTGAGTCTCTACACCCTGAGTCTCTACTAGACCCTGAGTCTCTACTAGACCCTGAGTCTCTACTGGACCCTGAGTCTCTACACCCTGAGTGTCTACTAGACCCTGAGTCTCTACTAGACCCTGAGTTTCTACACCCTGAGTCTCTAGACCCTGAGTCTCTACTACACCCTGAGACTCTACTACACCCTGAGTCTCTACACCCTGAGTCTCTACTAGACCCTGAGTCTCTACTAGACCCTGAGTCTCTACACCCTGAGTCTCTAGACCCTGAGTCTCCAGACCCTGTGTCTCCAGACCCTGTGTCTCCAGACCCTGAGTCTCTAGACCCTGAGTCTCTACTAGACCCTGAGTCTCTACACCCTGAGTCTCTACTAGACCCTGAGTCTCTACTAGACCCTGAGTCTCTACTAGACCCTGAGTCTCTACTATACCCTGAGTCTCTACACCCTGAGTGTCTACTAGACCCTGAGTCTCTACTAGACCCTGAGTCTCTACACCCTGAGTCTCTAGACCCTGAGTCTCTACTACACCCTGAGACTCTACTACACCCTGAGTCTCTACACCCTGACTCTCAACACCCTGAGTCTCTACACCCTGAGTTTCTGCACCCTGAGACTCTACTACACCCTGAGTCTCTACACCCTGACTCTCAACACCCTGAGTCTCTACACCCTGAGTCTCTACACCCTGAGTCTCTACTAGACCCTGAGTCTCTACACCCTGAGTCTCTACACCCTGAGTCTCTACTAGACCCTGAGTCTCTACACCCTGAGTCTCTACACCCTGAGTCTCTACACCCTGAGTCTCTACTAGACCCTGAGTCTCTACACCCTGAGTCTCTACTACACCCTGAGTCTCTACTAGACCCTGAGTATCTACTAGACCCTGAGACTCTAGACCCTGAGTCTCTACACCCCGAGTCTCTACTACACCCTGAGTCTCTACTACACCCTGAGTCTCTACACCCTGAGTCTCTAGACCCTGAGTCTCTACTAGACCCTGAGTCTCTACTACACCCTGAGTCTCTACTACACCCTGAGTCTCTACTAGACCCTGAGTCTCTACTAGACCCTGAGTCTCTACTACACCCTGAGTCTCTACTACACCCTGAGTCTCTACTAGACCCTGAGTCTCTACACCCTGAGTCTCTACACCCTGAGACTCTACTACACCCTGAGTCTCTACTACACCCTGAGTCTCTACTACACCCTGAGTCTCTACTACACCCTGAGTCTCTATCCCGCTGCCTCCGCTGAGTCTCTACTACACCCTGAGTCTCTACACCCTGAGTCTCTACTACACCCTGAGTCTCTATCCCGCTGCCTCCGCTGAGTCTCTACTACACCCTGAGTCTCTACACCCTGAGTCTCTACTACACCCTGAGTCTCTACTACACCCTGAGTCTCTATCCCGCTGCCTCCGCTGAGTCTCTACTACACCCTGAGTCTCTACACCCTGAGTCTCTACTACACCCTGAGTCTCTATCCCGCTGCCTCCGCTGAGTCTCTACTACACCCTGAGTCTCTACACCCTGAGTCTCTACTACACCCTGAGTCTCTACTACACCCTGAGTCTCTATCCCGCTGCCTCCGCTGAGTCTCTACTACACCCTGAGTCTCTACACCCTGAGTCTCTACTACACCCTGAGTCTCTACTACACCCCGAGTCTCTATCCCGCTGCCTCCGCTGAGTCTCTACTACACCCTGAGTCTCTACACCCTGAGTCTCTACTACACCCTGAGTCTCTACTACACCCCGAGTCTCTATCCCACTGCCTCCCCTGAGTCTCTACTACACCCTGAGTCTCTACTACACCCTGAGTCTCTACTACACCCCGAGTCTCTATCTCGCTGCCTCCGCTGAGTCTCTACTACACCCTGAGTCTCTACTACACCCTGAGTCTCTACTACACCCTGAGTCTCTACTACACCCCGAGTCTCTACTACACCCTGAGTCTCTACTACACCCCGAGTCTCTACACCCTGAGTCTCTACATCCTGAGTCTCTAGACCCTGAGTCTCTACACCCTGAGTCTCTACTAGACCCCGAGTCTCTACACCCTGAGTCTCTACTACACCCTGAGTCTCTATCCCACTGCCTCCCCTGAGTCTCTACTAGACCCTGAGTCTCTACTACACCCTGAGTCTCTACTAGACCCTGAGTCTCTACTACACCCTGAGTCTCTACTACACCCTGAGTCTCTACTACACCCTGAGTCTCTACACCCTGAGTCTCTAGACCCTGAGTCTCTACACCCTGAGTCTCTACACCCTGAGTCTCTACACCCTGAGTCTCTACACCCTGAGTCTCTACACCCTGAGTCTCTACTACACCCTGAGTCTCTACACCCTGAGTCTCTACACCCTGAGTCTCTACACCCTGAGTCTCTACACCCTGAGTCTCTACACCCTGAGTCTCTACTAGACCCTGAGTCTCTACTACACCCTGAGTCTCTACTACACCCCGAGTCTCTACTAGACCCTGAGTCTCTACACCCTGAGTCTCTAGACCCTGAGTCTCTACACCCTGAGTCTCTACACCCTGAGTCTCTACACCCTGAGTCTCTACACCCTGAGTCTCTACTACACCCTGAGTCTCTACACCCTGAGTCTCTACACCCTGAGTCTCTACACCCTGAGTCTCTACACCCTGAGTCTCTACTAGACCCTGAGTCTCTACTAGACCCCGAGTCTCTACACCCTGAGTCTCTACTACACCCCCGAGTCTCTACTACACCCTGAGTCTCCAGACCCTGAGTCTCTACTACACCCCGAGTCTCTACTACACCCCCGAGTCTCTACTACACCCTGAGTCTCTACTACACCCCCGAGTCTCTACTACACCCTGAGTCTCCAGACCCTGAGTCTCTACTACACCCCCGAGTCTCTACTACACCCCCGAGTCTCTACTACACCCCCGAGTCTCTATCCCGCTGCCTCCGCTGAGTCTCTACTACACCCCGAGTCTCTATCCCACTGCCTCCCCTGAGTCTCTACTACACCCTGAGTCTCTATCCCACTGCCTCCCCTGAGTCTCTACTACACCCCGAGTCTCTATCCCGCTGCCTCCCCCGAGTCTCTACTACACCCCCGAGTCTCTATCCCGCTGCCTCCGCTGAGTCTCTGTCCCCCTACCGCACAGATCGGCTGCAACTGCTTCACGCTGAGCGATGATGGGGGAATGGCGCCCGTCGGCGTGGGCCTCTTCACCAACCTCTGCCTCCTCAACCACGACTGCTGGCCCAACTGCACGGCCGTGTTCAACGCGGGCAGGTGAGAGTCCTCGGACTCGCTCGCTCGGAATCGCTCGCTCGCTCGGAATCGCTCGCTCGGAATCGCTCGCTCGCTAGTTCAGATTCACCGGGGGCTCGCTTGGCCTCACTGGGACTTAACTCAAAGACTCCTCACTGGGCCTCACTCGGACTCAGCCGGACTCGCTCACCCTCACTGGAAGTCACTGGAACCCACTGGGTCGCGCTCTGGCTTACCGCGAGGGGACACCAGCGAGACCGGGAGACTCGGGGTGTGGAGACTCGGGGTGTGGAGACTCGGGGTGTGGAGACTCGGGGTGTGGAGACTCGGGGTGTGGAGACTCGGGGTGTGGAGACTCGGGGTGTGGAGACTCGGGGTCTGGAGACTCGGGGTCTGGAGACTCGGGGTCTGGAGACTCGGGGTCTGGAGACTCGGAGTCTGGAGACTCGGAGTCTGGAGACTCGGAGTCTGGAGACTCGGAGTCTGGAGACTCGGAGTCTGGAGACTCGGAGTCTGGAGACTCGGAGTCTGGAGACTCGGAGTCTGGAGACTCGGAGTCTGGAGACTCGGGGTCTGGAGACTCGGGGTCTGGAGACTCGGGGTCTGGAGACTCGGAGTCTGGAGACTCGGAGTCTGGAGACTCGGAGTCTGGAGACTCGGAGTCTGGAGACTCGGAGTCTGGAGACTCGGAGTCTGGAGACTCGGAGTCTGGAGACTCGGAGTCTGGAGACTCGGAGTCTGGAGACTCGGAGTCTGGAGACTCGGAGTCTGGAGACTCGGAGTCTGGAGACTCGGGGTCTGGAGACTCGGGGTCTGGAGACTCGGGGTCTGGAGACTCGGGGTCTGGAGACTGAGGGTTTTGAGACTCGGATAGACCGGGTCTCGGTGATTGGGTCGGTGATTGGGTTGGTTATTGAGTGAATGGGTGAGTGGGTTAAAGAGTGGGTGAGTGGGGTGAATTATTAGGTGGGTGGGTGAGTGAGTGAGTGGGTGGGGGAGTAGGTAAGTGAGTGGGTGAGTAAGTTAATTGGTGAGTGGGTTAATGAGTGGGTGAGTGGGGTGAATTATTAGGTGAGTTGGTGAGTGAGTGAGTGGGGGAGTAGGTGAGTGGGTGGGTGAGTAAGTTAATGGGTGAGTGGGTTAATGAGTGGGTGAGTGGGGTGAATTAGGTGAGTGGATGAGTGAGTGAGTGGGTGAGTGGGTGGGGGAGTAGGTGAGTGGGTGAGTAAGTTAATGGGTGAGTGGGTTAATGAATGGGTGAATTATTAGGATTAGGTGAGTTTGTGAGTGAGTGGGTGAGTGGGGTAGTAGGTAAGTGAGTGGGTGAGTGAGTGAGTGGGTGGGTTAAAGAGTAGGTGAGTGGGGTGAATCATTGGGTGAGTGGGTGAGTGAGTGAGTGGGTGGGGGAGTAGGTAAGTGAGTGGGAGAGTAAGTGAATGGGTGAGTGGGTTAATGAATGGGGTGAATTATTAGGTGAGTGGGTGAGTGAGTGAGTGGGTGAGTGGGTGGGTGGGGGAGTGAGTGAGTGGGTGATTGAGTGAATGGGTGATTGAGTGAATGGGTGAGTGGGTGAATAAGGTAGGTTAGCGATTGGGTGAGCGAGTCACTGAGTGAGCGAGCGAGCGACACCTTGACCACATCTCTGTGTTACGTTGCCGGGGTTGGGATTTCAAGGGGGTCTTGGTGGGAGTTGGGTGGGTTTAAGGGGCTCTGTAGGGGTAGGGGGGTTTAAGGGGGTCGGCAGGGGGTGTAGGAGTTTCGTGAGTGGGGTGTCACTCCATGTCGCTGTGTAACTTGGCGCACCACCACCACCCCCCACCACCCACCACCACCACCCACCACCCACCCCCCACCCACCCCCCACCCACCCACCACCACCCTCACCCACCTCCCACCACCACCCACCACCACCCACCACCACCCACCACCACCACCCACCACCACCCACCCACCACCCACCCCCACCACCCAACACCACCCACCACCACTCACCTCCACCACCCACCACCACCACCCACCACCACCACCCACCCCCCACCACCACCACCACCCACCACCACCCGACACCCACCACCTACCCCCACCACCCCCCACCACCCACCCCCTCCCACCACCAACCCCCACCACCCACCACCACCCACCACCACCCACCACCCACCACCCACCACCACCACCCACCACCACCACCCACCCCCACCACCACCACCCACCCCCACCACCCACCACCACCACCCACCACCCCCCACCACCCCCCACCACCCACCCACCACCACCACCCACCCACCCACCCCCAACCACCACCACCCACCCACCCCCCCACCACCACCCCCACCCACCCACCACCCACCCACCCCCCACCCACCCACCACCCACCCCCCACCCACCACCACCCCCACCCACCACCACCCACCCCCCACCCACCCACCACCACCACCACAACCACCCTCACCACCCACCCCCCACCCACCCACCACCACCCCCCACCACCCCCCCACGCGCCCTCCGCTCCCCTCCCCACCTCAGCCATGTGGCGGCCATGGGGAGCACCACTCCAGCACTGAGGTGGGTGGGGGCGTGACTGGGGGCGTGGCTGGGGGGGTCACGCGGGTCGCCCCTCGGCCAATGGAAACGCGCGAGAGCCCTACACCCCTCCCCGCATGGGGTAGGTGTGGGGAGGGGTGGTCACGCGGGGCGTCCTTCAGCCAATGGGGACGCGCGAGAGCCCTACACCCCTCCCCCCATGGGGTAGGTGGGGGGAGGGGTGGTCACGCGGGGCGCCCCTCGGCCAATGGGGACGCGCGAGAGCCCTACACCCCTCCCCCCATGGGGTAGGTGGGGGGGTGGTCACGCGGGGCGCCTCTCGGCCAATGGGGTGCGTGGGGGTGGGGTGGAGGATAAAAAATGGCCGCCTTTTGCTATCGATCGCCTGCACCTAGCGGATCAATATGTCAGTGACCTTATTATAGATCAATTCAGACCCTATTGGTCATCCTATACACTACTATAGACTACACTATACAACTACTATGGACTAAACTATACATTACACTATACACTACACTATATACTACACTATACACTACACTATATACTACACTATACACTACACTATACACTACACTACTACACTATACACTACACTATACACTTGTCAGTGACCTTATTATAGATCAATTCAGACCCTATTGGTCATCCTATACACTACTATAGACTACACTATGCAACTATTATAGACTAAACTATACACTACACTATACACTACACTATACACTACTACACTATACACTACACTATATACTACACTATACACTACACTATACACTACTACACTATACACTACACTATATACTACACTATACACTACACTATACACTACACTACTACACTATACACTACACTATACACTTGTCAGTGACCTTATTACAGATCAATTCAGACCCTATCGGTCATCCTATACACTACTATAGACTACACTATACACTACATTATACTACACTATATACTACACTATACACTACACTATATACTTGTCAGTGACCTTATTACAGATCAATTCAGACCCTTCATAATAATTCAGACCCTATTGGTCATCCTATACACTACTATAGACTACACTATACAACTACTATGGACTACATTACACACTACACTATACACTACACTATACACTACACTATACACTTCTCAGTGACCTTATTACAGGTCAATTGAGACCCTATTGGTCACCTCGTGCCACTCATGAAGTCCCATCGCAAGCGAGAAACACAAACAAGACAATTTCCCCGTATTGAAACGGCTGTACGCCACATGAACCTGAAAAATCAATTTCCCCCGTACAAGAATATGGCTTGAATTGTACGGGTTGACAGGGTATGGTAGTATATAGTGTATAGTAGTAGTGTAGTGTATAGTAGTATATAGTGTATAGTAGTAGTGTAGTGTATAGTAGTATATAGTGTATAGCAGTAGTGTAGTGTATAGTAGTGTATAGTGTATAGTAGTATATAGTGTATAGTAGTATATAGTGTATAGCAGTAGTGTAGTGTATAGTAGTAGTGTAGTGTATAGTAGTAGTGTAGTGTATAGTAGTAGTGTATAATGTATAGTAGTGTATAGTAGTAGTGTAGTGTATAGTAGTAGTGTAGTGTATAGTAGTAGTGTAGTGTATAGTAGTATATAGTGTATAGTAGTATATAGTGTATAGTAGTATATAGTGTATAGTAGTATATAGTGTATAGTAGTAGTGTAGTGTATAGTAGTATATAGTGTATAGTAGTATATAGTGTATAGTAGTAGTGTAGTGTATAGTAGTAGTGTAGTGTATAGTAGTATATAGTGTATAGTAGTAGTGTAGTGTATAGTAGTAGTGTAGTGTATAGTAGTATATAATGTATAGTAGTAGTGTAGTGTATAGTAGTAGTGTAGTGTATAGTAGTATATAGTGTATAGTAGTATATAGTGTATAGTAGTATATAGTGTATAGTAGTAGTGTAGTGTATAGTAGTGTAGTGTATAGTAGTATATAGTGTATAGTAGTAGTGTAGTGTATAGTAGTAGTGTAGTGTATAGTAGTATATAGTGTATAGTAGTAGTGTAGTGTATAGTAGTATATAGTGTATAGTAGTATATAGTGTATAGTAGTAGTGTAGTGTATAGTAGTAGTGTAGTGTATAGTAGTAGTGTAGTGTATAGTAGTATATAGTGTATAGTAGTAGTGTAGTGTATAGTAGTATATAGTGTATAGTAGTAGTGTAGTGTATAGTAGTATATAGTAGTATATAGTGGTAGTGTAGTGTATAGTAGTATATAGTGTATAGTAGTATATAGTGTATAGTAGTATATAGTGTATAGTAGTAGTGTAGTGTATAGTAGTAGTGTAGTGTATAGTAGTAGTGTAGTGTATAGTAGTAGTGTAGTGTATAGTAGTATATAGTGTATAGTAGTAGTGTAGTGTATAGTAGTATATAGTGTATAGTAGTATATAGTGTATAGTAGTAGTGTAGTGTATAGTAGTATATAGTGTATAGTAGTATATAGTGTATAATGTATAGTAGTATATAGTGTATAGCAGTAGTGTAGTGTATAGTAGTATATAGTGTATAGTAGTATATAGTGTATAGTAGTAGTGTAGTGTATAGTAGTATATAGTGTATAGTAGTATATAGTGTATAATGTATAGTAGTATATAGTGTATAGTAGTATATAGTGTATAGTAGTAGTGTAGTGTATAGTAGTGTATAGTGTATAGTAGTATATAGTGTATAGTAGTGTATAGTGGTAGTGTAGTGTATAGTAGTGTATAGTAGTAGTGTAGTGTATAGTAGTATATAGTGTATAGTAGTAGTGTAGTGTATAGTAGTATATAGTGTATAGTAGTGTATAGTAGTAGTGTAGTGTATAGTAGTGTATAGTAGTAGTGTAGTGTATAGTAGTATATAGTGTATAGTAGTAGTGTAGTGTATAGTAGTATATAGTGTATAGTAGTGTATAGTAGTATATTGTGTATAGTAGTGTATAGTAGTAGTGTAGTGTATAGTAGTATATAGTGTATAGTAGTGTAGTGTATAATGTAGTTCGATTAACGGGGGGGCATTGGTTTTTAATCAATTAGCGGGGTGTGAGTTATTTTTTTACCAATCAGTGGGGCATTGTTTTTTTCATCGATTAGTTGGGCGTGAGTTTTTAATCGATTATCATGGCGTTAGTGGTGTAACTAGAGTGGTGTGTAACTAGAGTGGTGTGTAACTAGAGTGAGTGTGTAACTAGAGTGTGTAACTAGAGTGAGTGTGAAACTAGAGTGAGTGTGTAATTAGAGTGGTGTGTAACTAGAGTGGTTTGTCATTCTCTCTCCCACTCACTCACCCACTCACCCACTCACTCACGCACTCACCCACTCACTCACCCACTCACCCACTCACTCACCCACTCACTCACCCATCAACTCAATCACTCATCCACCTACCCAGTCAATCACTCACCCACCCACTCACTCACCCACCCACTCTCCAACTCATACACCCACCCACTCCCTCACTCACCCAATCACCCACTCACTCACTCACTCACCCATCACCTCAATCACTCATCCACCCACACACCCACCCACCCACTCTCCAACTCACCCACTCACTCACCCACCAACTCAATCACTTACCCACCAACTCAATCACTTACCCACCTACCCAGTCAATCACTCACCCACCCACTCACTCACCCACCCACTCTCCAACTCATACACCCACCCACTCCCTCACTCACCCAATCACCCACTCACTCACTCACTCACCCATCACCTCAATCACTCATCCACCTACACGCCCACCCACCCACTCTCCAACTCACCCACTCACTCACCCACCAACTCAATCACTTACCCACCTATCCACTCAATCACTCACCCACCCACTCACTCACTTACCCAGTCACACACACACTCTTGCACTCACTCATCCATCCATTTATCCACCCACTCACTCACTCACCCACCCACTCACTTACACACTCACTCACACACTAACTCACCCACCCACCCACTGAATGGAAACGTCCTGGAAAAACCAGTAGAGGTGGCAACCCTCTTACTGAGGCCTAACCAAGAAGCTTTCTGAGTGGGATTTGTCTAAAATTCTAATCAAGTATCGTGTCGAGCCTCCTCCTCCATCAATCATCATCACCTCCATCAACACCACCATTACCACCACCATCACCTCCATCATCACCTCCATCAACACCTCTATCAACACCACCATTACCACCACCATCACCTCCACCACCATCACCTCCATCAACACCACCATTACCACCACCATCACCTCCATCATCACCACCATCTCCTCCATTATCACCTCCATCAAAGCACCATTACCGCCACCATCACCTCCATCATCACTTCCTCCTCCATCAATCATCATCACCTCCATCAACACCACCATTACCACCACCATCACCTCCATCATCACCTCCACCACCATCACCTCCATCATCACCTCCATCACCTCCATCACCACCATCACCTCCACCATCACCTCCATCATCACCTCCATCAACACCTCTATCAACACCACCATTACCACCACCATCACCTCCACCACCATCACCTCCATCATCACCTCCATCACCAC